GATGTTTTCTCGTTTGTAATTTTGATGTGTTCTATTGTAAATACTTACATAACGTTTTCTATATCCTTTTCTTCATACCTCTTTTCATAAATCTCGACAATTTACTGTTTTCCTCAATTACTTTTCAAACGTCTTTTTATCCCCAAACTTTCAAAAACACTGTAATTATATCTTTTCAAGTCAACGTCTTTACAGAAACAACTTCTCTATTATTTAAGCTAAATAAAAAGTCTGCATACATCTCATCTCAACCCTACTTTCGAGTAAAACGTACAGAACATGTTCGATTCCGTCATCAACGCGAGGGCAGTACATCGATTGTATGCAAGAACTTCTTGCGTAAACACTGTAAGCATTAAGACCGACATGAATTTGTTAAGCACCAATAAGACGAATAACAACGACGACATAAAACGACTTAAATTAAGAAAAAACGCAGTGGACCGAAGAATCGGAAATCCGAAATGTTGCATCATAAAAAGGAATTGTGGGGTTGAAAATTGATGATTAAAAGTTAGGTTTCAAAATGATGGAATGAAGTATTATTGTTGACCAACACGATTGGTATCATTAAAGTTTCACTCCAAATATCCATTTATAAAAAATAAATGCATTCAACACGTGCTTGTCACGTGGACCCTCATGCTTTTTTTGCTTTTTGGATATTTAATAATTAATGGTCTATTGGTTAACATTTAGGTTCATAATCATTTAAAAACCTCAAATAACGAATCCATTAGTGCTTCAACTTTATTAATATTTTATTATTTATTTATATTATACAAAAATAAAAAAGGGATTAATTTTTTTTTTAAATTCTTTAAAATAGAAAATAAAAACTTGTAACAAAATCTATAAGAAACGAACATAAAATTTATTTTAAACCACAAGGGTGGTGTCTGATTGGTTTGAGCTTGGCTCCAAATGTCAAATGTACTAGTAGGTCCCAGGTTCAAATCCAAGGAGGAATAAAAATCTTCTTGTGGCCATGGAGGTTCAAATGCGGCGACTCCGTGTTATCTGCAAAACAAGTGGTCGTCCTGGAATTATTCAGCTCGCAAAGCGAGTTGGATATCCAGGTTAATCAAAAAAATATTTTATAATAATTAATTTATATATCCTTTTATCAAGTTTAACTTATAGATTTTATAGTTTTATTAAAATAAAATGGTTAAAAAATAATAAAAATAAACAATAACAAAAAATAAATATATACAAGAATCCAGGTTCTTACTTTTTTACTTAAGCACTTGGTTTCCGATAAAAACCTGTAACTGGACAAGAACCTATGTCCCTCAGTGGAGGTTCTTATAAAAACATCAGCAAGGACCTTAACAATAAGGTTTTTTGAAAAAAGAAATGTACTTTTTAGTTGTTGCTCACAGCTTCTGTCTATATAAGGTTTTTTAAAAGTTTGTTGGTTATTAAATATACCGAATATTTTAATTAATATATTAATATTAAAATCTCCAAAATAAAAAAGCTGTTAAACTTAAATGTAACTTTTTTTAAAAAAATTCGAAGATTCTGTTATATTACTAATAAGATAAATATTAACAGTTGTCGATTTTCACGACAAAGAAATTAAAACGACAACGAAAGACTCAAAATCACAATCCAATACGAAAAGACCATCTCTTGTTTTTGACGACAAGAAATTCGATGACAACAAAAGCCTCCCTCATAATCCAATACGAAAAGGGTGTCTCCTATTCATCCCACCCGACACAAACTACTAACGAAGTACTAAATTATTAATCAAATATATGAGAAAATATTTATATGTATTTTGTAACGATCATGATAATGGAAAAAAGACAATCTTGTCGTAAATTTGTCGAACGGTTTCCATTGTTTTGGGTAGAAAATGGAAAAGAAATAACGAGCATCCGTTTTGTAATATACTGCAAGTATATTTATGAATGCAGCGTGATATATTTTTACTTCGTCTCTTTTGATTTTATTTTATTTTATGTAAGTTATTTTAAATTAAATACGTGGGAGACTATACATGTTTAAATCTCAAACATTTTCAATGAACCTAAAACCAAAATGAATCTAATTTAATACAAAAAAAAAAAACGACATCATATAAGAATTAACAACCTAAAACCAAAAAAAGAAAATTCAATTTTAATCCAAAAAAACTTAAAGTCATATGTACCAAAAGATATTGAGTAATATACAAAACTCACCAAATAATTGTATTTTGACTTGACATCCAAAATATTACATATTTACATCCAAAAAATAACAAATTTACATCCAAAAAATAACAAATTTAGATTATAAACCTAGTTTGAAAATAAGATTTTATGAATTACAGTTTTATTTGAAATAAATAATATATATTATATTAAATAATATAAATAATTAAAAAAACCTAAGCATTTTTTTAGGTATCAAAGTGAATGATAAATAAATATTATGCTTTTTATTTGTAGTCAAAAGTACAATTTTTGTATATTATTTTTAGAGCAAATTACCTTTTTTTGCCTTATGGTTTGTTAACCATAATAGATTTAGGGATCTCTTTACTAAACGCTTATCCGGTAAGTACTTATCGGATAATTTTTTTGATCGGATGAACATAGCAACAACCAATAATCTTACCCGATAAGAGCGCTGATAAGGATGAAGAGTTTTACCCGGTAAGTGAGGGTGATGACTCTTACCCGATTTGATGTACTACAATTTTACCCAATAAAATAAATTACAGTGGTAACTCCTAACGTTAAACATTTACTGGGTAAAACGGCCCCTTAGTTCTCATGGATTTAGAATTTCGGTTTTTATTCCTATGGTTTGAAGTTTATTTCTATTTTATCTCACGAATCTCACAAATTATATGAATCAATAAAATTTTACGTCTTTATTGTATACAACTAAATGGAAATATTACTATTTTTTTGCTCTAAATTTCTTGGTCAAAACTTTTGCAAGACACATCAAAATTTATTTTTCCAAGAATATGAAAAATGAAAAACACGAGATATTAATTTTGGGAAAAGTACAATAAAAACCAATGAACTTTCTTGTTTGGAATGATTAAGTCCTTGAACTTTTTTTTGGAACAAATAAGTCCTTGAACTTTTCAAAACATGTTAAATAAGTCATTGGACAATTTTTTGGCACAAAWAARTCCTTGGACATTCCAAAATATATTAAATAAGTCCTTAAACATTCCAAAAAATGTTAAATAAGTCCTTGGACTATTTTTGGAACAAATAAATCCTTGAACAATCCAAAACATGTTAAATAACTTCTTGAACTTTTATAAAACATGTTGGATACATTCTAATGACTTGTACAACTAGTTAAAATGGTAATTATTTTTTTGTAAATGTAAGTACTTTTTTGTTATGTTTGTTTAATTTTATAGAGCTAAATACTTTTTGGTTCAAAAAATATTTAGGGGCTTAATCGTTCAAAATATGAATGTTCATTGGGTTTTTTCCCGATTTTTTTCACTATTTTACCACTTTATTTTTTTCAAAAAGTTATTTAACATGTTTTGGATTGTTCAAGGACTTATTTGTTCCAAAAATTGTCCAA